AGGTCCATTGTTTGGACACATACGTTCATGATATGAACAATTTTTGTTCCAATTTTGTTCATAAATTATGAGAACTTGTATCAATTCTATATGAGTTTATTATTGAATTATAGAGAACTGGCAGTTTTATCGCAAGAGTATGAATTTTATTTAATGCATGTATCTTATTAATCTCCAAAATATCAAAATTATTTACTAAATTCCCTTCGAGCTTCCCAGTAGGTCAAAAACGTTATGTGTTTTGAGGCTTTACTTTGTTATTGTATTCGCATAAGAGCGGGATTACAAGACGCAATATGTCCTTTGGTAGAACATTTATTACAAATGGCATCCTTGAAGCGGCAATTAGAATGGAAATGCATCCCTCCACATGAATGGCAAAAAGAATTGGTATTATTTGGTTTTATATCCCTTGTTTTATGTTTCCAATGATTACGTATTTGCCCGAAGTATGGCACAATCGAATGACGGAACCAGTACACACGAAAATCATCTGTGCCAACTGTCGTTTTCAAAGCCAGGCCGAATTTGTACTGACTGCCTTTTATTTATTTATTATTAATTTGTTTATTTCCTTCTTGCCAACGAAATCAAATACATAAGAAAGCAACGTCACGAACTTTTTGTGTTGAGTGCAAAAGCATCCAAACACACATACAAAAATAGGACGTCAATTATACTAACATCACAAGTTAAAATTTAAAAAGTAAACAAAAATTGGTGGAAGATCAAAGATACAACAGTTTGAAGATTAAAGGAATAAAAACATCCTTCGCAAACTGTAAGACCGCCGTTTTAAATCTCCCAATTTCCTCCATATTCCCGATATCAGCAGGCAGGAGTCTGTAGGCTTTGATATCTCGATAATAAGGGCCTTTCTCAAAAAATGTGGAGCGATTTGTGGGAATGCGGAGTTCATCCCTACCTCTAGTAAATATACCAATATTATTGGCATAGCCAAAGGCGGATTTAGAATATTTGGCGCTGTTAGCAGAAACATTTTTGGCGCCCTTCGTCCTTGCCAAGGAAGAAGATGGACAAAATCGCAGATTACAAAATAGTTCCAGCGGCGTGATTTTTTGGAAACTTACCGACACTAACCATGTTTGAGGGATTTCACGTATTAAAAAAAAAGCTTTTCTAATCGAAAAACTAATAACTACAAAAAATGAGTTAGTTAAAGTTCACCAAATGGTAGAAATATACAGGGTGTCCCACGATATTTTACCCAAGTGATAACTCCGGAACGCAACATCGAAAGTTCCACTTCGTGATTTTGTATAATTTTTGTCAATTCAAATTCATATCAAGGGGGAAGTCCGCTCCTCGGTCCGCTCCTTCGGAGGATACAATGATCATGTATCATTTTCTTTAACAAAGCCCTAGCAAATATGGTCATGCCGATTTTGTAATTTAATTTTTCTACTGACATTTCATAATACGCTATTAAACGATTTAAATCTGTATCATAATGAACTTCATTACGATACAGATTTTCATTATAATACTCATTTCTAATATTATACAATGTTGATAGATGGCAGCACTAGTTAAGATATTAAACATTTTAAATGGTAATTTTGCATAAAACAATTATTTTGATAGCTATAAGAAAGACTCCGAATTGTTTAAAACTCGGTCTAAAAGTTACCGTTTGGGACAAAGAATAGTTATTATGGAAATAATGAATGATAAGGAAGAATTTATACTTTTTTCATTATTGTACATTGTCAATAGATGGCGCCATCAGTTAAAAAAATATGATTTTTTTTTTGTATGTTGGCAGCACTCTGGGCGCGTTTTTTTATTCAGCAATGCATCAATCTGCTGCCATCATAATAAGACAGACATTCCTATTTTCTATGAGCTAGACAACTAGACAAAGAAAGGCTGATTACTGATGGATCCACCGCTGAATAAAAGAAAGCGCCCTCTGTTTATAGCTTCTCCATGGTAATTTAGCGAAAAACAATAATTTTATAAACAAAAATACCTCAAATTGTTATTAAAAGTTAATACCTTAAGTTTGGGAGAAGGCATTATTATGGAAATATTGAGCGATAACGAAGAATTTTCACTAACACCTCCAAAAATTACAGAAAGGGCGACAAATGCAGGTAATAATATACTACCGGACAAGTCCAAGAAAATTTACAAAGAATTATATGGACAATTTATGGATTGGAAACACCAAAAACACATCATCCTTCTCAGAAAATGTTTTGATAGTATATTTTGAAGAATTACAACAAAAAATGAAACCTTCAACTGTATGGATTACTCAATTATGAAATCTCTATTCAAAGTTAAGCATAATGTTGACATATCTAAATATCATAAGTTTTATCAATGGCAGTAGAAAAAATTGTGTATGCAACTCTCATGTAATGGCCATTAATACACTCGCATGTTATACTACAACATGCTCGTGTATTAATGGCTATCATTACATGATCATTGCATAATATACTATTTTCTACTAACGTTTCATAATACGTCTAAAATCTGTTTCATAATGAATTTCATTACGATACAGATTTTTATTATGATACAGATTTTTCAGCCACTGGAATCAAGTATTTTGAACATGAACGATGTTTATGTAAAAAAAAACAGACTTGCTTTTGAATTTTGGATTATCCTAATTTTTGAAATTGTCAAGTTGTCAACAATTGTCATCAGTTGAGAAGTTTACTATTCTTATAAAATAAATATGTTTCGTTTATTAATGCAAGTAGAAAAAATAGTGTATGCAACTCTCATGTAATGGCCATTAATACACTCGCATGTTATATACGAAACTCGCCTGCGGCTCGTTTGGTATCCTACAACATGCTCGTGTATTAATGGCTATCATTATTCCAATTTACTTACCCTAATATAGAAAAATGAGCTATACCAATGGGTGTCTCAAGCAAGGAAAGTTAAATTTTATCAGACTTAGATGTAAATGTAAGTCTCTCAACCAAGCCTATTACAAGGTGTGATGCTCAGGATCTTCCACTTTTCATTGAAATCCCAATGCCAAAGAAAATGTCAGAACTCGAATGTAATTATATTTATCAAGATTTTATATATTGCAATTATCTACACATTAATTTCTTCTTGGCAAATGTTGACTGGGATTCAACTGTGGATCAGAATAGTATAGATGTAACGATGGATAATGATTTCCACTGCCTGAGTCATTGTATTGAATATTATGCACCTGAGAAGATGGCAAAAAATAAAAAAATTCCCTCTTGGTTCAATAGAAAGTTTAATTTCACAAGAAAAGTTTCTTCATAAGAAGTTTAAAACCTCACTCTACTTCCGATTACAATATCTTTTCAGAGCTAAGAAAATCTTGTAAGAATCCTAATGATCAGAGATATCGGGACAGGAATATATCTCAGAACTTGAAAAGTCATTAACAAATAATAGTAAAGAATTTTGGAGCTATGTTAACTCGAAAAATTCTCCCTCCTTTTTGCTGAGCTCCATGGTGTACGAGAACAACGAGGCTGGTGATTCCCAGGCAATCTCTTAGGAACGTTTTTTGCAACTGTTTACACAGAAGATTCAAGTGACCCACTAAACTTCTATTACAAAAAAGTCAATGGACCTGAGTTCTCTTTAAATTTAGCCGGTCGATATTTTCGATTCCATATCCAAGTTGAATAGTAAATTGAACACTGGCCCCGATGGTGTTCAGGATGTCTTTATCAAGAATTGTCGAGTGTATTCTTTTTCCCATTTTGGCTTGCATCTTCAATGTATCTCTGTCAACGGGAGTATTCCCAGAATACTGGAAATTAACCTTTGTTACGCCAGTCCATAGGAAAGGAGAAAGATCAAATGTGGAAAACTATAGAGGCATTTCGAAGTTCTCCCTGTTTGGTAAGATTTTTGAAGAAATTATTCACTGGAAACTGAGCTCATTATTTCAACCTCTAAGGGTTTTGACAGAGCGAATCATGTCCTGCTTATTTATAAACTGCTGACAACCGTATCCAAATAGTGAAAATAGATAATGTTGAGTCATCTGACATTATTGCAATATCTATAAGGTGCTCACATTGCCCCTATTCTTTTCAATTATTATTACATCAATGATGACATTATCACTAATAGTGAATGCTTGTTGTACGCGGATGACTTGAAAATATACAGGGTTGTACAGGATAGAAGTGACTGTGAGGCGATTCAGGAGGACTTGCAGAATCTTTACAGGTGGTGCAAATCAAATCTCATGCAACTCAACATCTCGCAATGTTTTGCTATATCTTTTCACCATACAAACAGAGGTCTAAAGCTTCTTGGCTTTGTGGGAAAGACATCTACTGATTTCAATGATGTTTCGTATTTTAAGTCTGTATATTGCTCTATTGTCCGATCAGTTCTTGAATATGCAGCCCCCATATAGTCTCCACATTATGATATATACATGGGACAGATTGAAAGAGTACAAGTACAGAGGAAATTCGTTCGCCTTGTCGCTTGCAAACAGGGTGTTCAGCGGGTAGATCTAGTCTATAGTAATATAGAATCTTCCATCGATATAATATCCCTGGATCAAAGACTTTTTCATAAAATTACCCGCTAATTGATGCCTCTGACTTGCTTTGGATGATAGGTTTCTCTATTCCACAAAGAGCTTTTAGAGTTAACAGCTTGATTAAGATAACATTTCATAGAACAAATATTGGATGTAATAGTCTAATTACGCGCATTAGAAATATTTTATATAATTATTATTATTATTATTATGGATTGTAAAAAAAAATATTCTTGAATATTACATTATTATTATTACATGAGGCTTGTAGGTATACTGAAATACATTGGCGGTTTACCCCTTGGAACTTTTAGTGGGCCCGAGGAATTCGTGAAAATATTTCTATCTATATATTTTAAAAGTACGCAAGGGGTCTATTACATTTCATAGGCCAATAGGTATCTATGTTGCCCATCTACTCATAATTTTTTGAATAATCGAATGAAGTATTAAATAAACTTACTTTGCTTAACTGAGTAGGACCATTATTTACTAAAGCATCCTGCGCCTCTCGCAGATCGATGAGCAAAGATCGAATGGCCTCTGGAAAGCTGCTGTGATTCATTTTCAGTTGTTCATTTAAATTATCTGCAGTGTCCTAGAAATAAATCACTACCTATACAATTTGATCTCTATGATTTTACCATATAACACACCATAATCGCTAGGGCCAAGTCTTTCATTGGAATAACCAACTTCTCATTGTATGTAGTGATGTGTAACAAGCTCAACTGAAGCTGTGATCTTAATGCTTGACTATTTGTATCATCTCCGTTAATTTGATTTATAATGCTGGTTAGGCCTGAAGTTATTTCGTCTAAACTGTAATTGGTGAAGTTGGTTTGGAGCTGAAAAAATAATAAAGTTTGTTTAATATACATACCCTAATTCAAAACAGAAAAGGCCAAATTCAAAACTATTTAGTTAAGCATATTTGTGACTTACCTCTTCTTTGAACTTAAAAACATCAATCTCGGGATTAATTTGCAACAATTCTTCAAACGCGTTATTATCACCAAGAAGATTAAAACCCTCTGGTATCACATTATCTATATTCAAGTTGTCCAATTTCTCCGCAATGTTGAAATTCGCCTTGATTTCTTCCAAATTGAACTGGCTGGCAAGATTAAACGTTTGATAAATGCTCTTGTTTTGATAGCAATTGTTCAGCATGGTGCTAGGTTTTACATCTACAGCCAAATTTAGATTTAAACTGTCGATTATGCTCATGATATTGCTTTCGCTTGGATTCGGATTTCTTAAAGTGTCGCACAGGGCTTTTTCGGAAATAACTCCGGCAATAAAACTGACCAGCGTGAAGATGGATATAAGGAAACCAAATAGGAACATTATCATAACAGCACTGGAACAAAAATTGATTGATCTTTGTGATTTTCATTTTAGAAAAAAATTACCATATGAGAAATTGTCCTCCTGCGCCTTTATTGCAACAATTATCGCTGTAGCCATCCGGTCGTTTGCCACAAATTCCACAAATGAGTCCAAATACGATGCAAACAGTAACCAGCAAAAGTATGCAGCTGATGGTCAGCCCGATGTAGTACTGATATTTCCCATATCGATTGATATAGTCTTGTGTAGTATCGATTGCTGGCGAGGCATTGTCATCAATTTGAGTTTTCACGTGTTCGAGGGTGTCACTTAAACTAGCAAGCTTTTCGTTGATTATGGTAGCTAGAAATCGATTGATATTTAAATAACAGTTTGCTATGGAATTCCTTATTGTGAGAGTCGGAGGTACAAAATGACACTTTCTTAACTATTTAGTGAAAGTGGGTTCTATTATGAATAAAGATGTATGATTATTTCAGGAGTTTTTTTAAATAAATTTTTAGTTTATGAAATACTTAATCATTCTTTATTATAATTTTGTTATATTATTTGGACTGATAACTCAAGTTTGATGTTGCTTTGATGACCTGTTATTTCAAATAAATATCACATTGTACATTTCATTAAACTTGTAGTTTCAGTGAAGCTTTATCAACTTTGTTTAGATGTTTTTATTCGACAGTTCTGCAAGCTCTGTGGCTCAACCCTATTCTTATTTAGAATATCCATAACATCAACCACATACGAAATCGTGGTCTAACTTTGTTGGTTGGCTCTCTATCTCTCTATATCAGAAAACAGTCGGTCTTACGTACCTGTATTGGTAATTTGTTGTCTAGCTGCACTCAAGGTGTCTGTTAAAGAATCATTAATTTGTTTTTGTACTTGATATAAAGACTGGTTTCCTTGTTGGGCATCAGCTTGTACCTTTTCTATATTAATTTGATCGAAGCTTTCTATTGCACTGGATACGTCTGGTACCTGAAAATGTATTTAAAATTAGGCTCAGCTCGACAATTGATTCGTTTAAACAGACATAATGGGTCCATCATTTTTTATTTTTCAGTCTATCAAGTCTAATATTATATCAACCAGGAAAAATAGCAAATATCACGCGGGATGTTTGATCGCATACTATAGGATGGTACAAAAAGAAATAACAAAATCTACAACTGACTTAATCAAAATGAATGAAAATCGAACAGGATAGTAGTTTGCAAGGAAACTCAAAGTAATTTAAGACTAATTGGGGCCAGTTTTGAGTTGCTTAGAAGAAAAATTTGGATTTGTTTAGGGTGAAAAGAACGTCTGAATTCGGACTTTTGCAGGGTTGATTCCCATTATGTTTTCTTTGTCCATTGTTTAATTTATAATGTTTTGAATCATTATCATCCATAGCAATTTTCTACTTTGTACGGATAGGCCCTCCTTGATGGTTGTAGGTGGTAGACGCTTTTTACTCATTGGGCGTCGACCGGTGAGATACCACCATGCCAGAATTGAGTAGCGCTAAGTGGTATCACCACGTTCCGCTACTGCGCTGGCAGTCCGGTTCCAACAATGAGTAACAGATAGCATGATGGCGCCTCCAGGATCAAAATATTCCGGAGGTAAAATACCCGACCACTCGGATCTCCGGGCGTCGGGTGATCCTGGGGGTCCTTCATGTAAAGATATAAAGAGAAGATCAAAAACTCAACTCAGAATTGATTTTAGCAATATAAGAGGAATAAGTACAAATATGAATTCAGTTCACCAACATCTTGAAGAACAAAGACCTGACATCCTTGTTCTCACTGAAACTAAAATCAGTTCTGCAACACCTATTGTGAACTATCTTTATCCCGGCTATGACCTACACCACCGATTTAGACATAATTTTGGGATCTGTGTGTACATTAAAAATGACCTTTCATGTCATCGAGAGGAGAAGCTAGAACCAGCGAACCTTGATATCATATGGCTAAAATTCACCTCAAAGTCATCGACCAAGTTTATCTGCTGCCTCTACCGACCGCCATCTAACACCGAGTACCAAAACTTTTTCGCGACATTATCCGAAGTCAAACTATCCACAGGCGGAAATTGTCTTTTTAGGCGATTTCAACGTCCACAATATACCCTGGCTGAAACACCACAACAAAACAGATAACGAAGGCAGAGAAGCAGAAGCTTTTGCCATAAGTTGTGGTCTAACGCAGCTTGTCGATGAACCTACCCGTATCTCAGAAAGGGGCGAATTTGCAGCGCTTTTAGACTTGTTCCTAACCACAAATCCTGACTCGTACACAATTCAAGTAGATGCTCCACTTGGTTCGTCCGATCATAAACTTATAATAACAAAGTGCGAAATGCTCATCCCACCAAGCCTACAACCACTTCCTCGTAAAATGTGGCACTATAAATCGGCAAAATGGAATGACCTAAAACAGTATTACCTGGATTTTCCATGGCAAGAGGTTTGCTTTAAAACAGCTGATCCCACTATTTGCTGTAATGAAATAACACAAGTAATCTTATCTGGAATGGACGCATATATCCCACATACAACTAAACGTAGAGCTAATGCTAAACCTTGGTTCAACAGCCAGTGTCAAACGGCTGTACAGAAAAAACACAGAGCATATAACCTTTGGAAACGACAACAAACCGCTCAAAACCACACAGAATTTATAGAAGCCAGAAATAGTTGCAAAATTACTATTGACTCCGCTAAAGAAACATACAATCAAAGAATAAAAAACAGGTTGCTGAATTGTCCAAGTAGTTCTAGGTCTTTTTGGTCTCTTGCAAAAGCTGTTGGATCTAACTTCACCAAGTCATCCATACCACCACTTACAGATAAAAATAATCACTTAGCCACAACATCAGAGGAAAAAGCCAATATGCTTGCCCAAATGTTTTCCTCCAACTCCAACCTAACAGTGCCAAACGGAAAAACTCCACCGTTCATTGAAAGGGTTTCCCATAGTATGCCAGAGGTACCCTTTTGTCACAGAGAAATACGAAAATCCCTAAAAAAGCTGGATACAAACAAAGCAATGGGTCCGGATGGCATTCCCGCAATAGTACTCAAAAATTGCGCCAACGAACTCACCCCAACTTTCGCAAAATTATTCAATTTGTCTTACAGGCAAGGAGTATATCCATCATCATGGAAGTCTGCCGCAGTACAACCCATTCCAAAGAAAGGAAAAAAGACAGATCCGTTAAACTATAGACCAATTGCTCTACTTCCGGTGATATCAAAAGTAATGGAAAGAGTTGTGAACAATCACCTAACCAAGTACTTGGAAAAGTACAAAATTATCAACGATAAGCAATACGGATTTCGAAAATATAGATCAACTGGCGATTTACTTACATACGTCACTCACTTATGGCAAAAAGCGATTGAGTTGCGGGGTGAAACAAGAACAATTGCCTTAGATATATCTAAAGCATTCGACAAAGTTTGGCATGAAAATCTTCTCAACAAGCTCAAAGCAATGGGATTATCGCCGAAACTTTGCACTTGGTTTGAAAGTTACCTAAAGGACAGATCCATTTATGTTGCACTGGATGGCCAGAACTCCAACTCTTACCAAATAAATGCTGGTGTGCCACAGGGAGCAATCCTTTCGCCAACTCTTTTCCTGATTTACATAAATGACCTCATAGATAAAACAGTAAATCCACTTTATTGCTTTGCAGACGATGGTAATGTAGTCTCCTCACTCATACCACCCACAGGGCTTTCCGCACGTGAATTCCATCATCTTAGACTAACTCAAATATCGCAGATAAATAACGACCTGGAGATAATAGAGGACTGGGGTAACAAAAACCTTGTACAGTTCAATGCGCAGAAAACCCAAGCAGCTCTGTTTTCAAAAAAGACCAGCACCGGTGAGCCAAACATCATGCTATCTGGAAGTGCTGTCACATTACAGAGTCAGTTGAACATCTTGGGGGTTACTGCAGAGACCAACATGTCTTGGCACAGTCACGTGGCAGATATTGCTAAAAGGGCCTCCCAAAAGCTGGGGGTGCTATTTCGTACAAGACATCTGTACACACCAAGCCAATTGCTGACACTCTACAAAGCCCAGATTCGACCAACTATGGAGTACTGCTCACATATATGGAGTGCTGCACCCAAACATACCTTAATGCTTTTGAATACCGTGCAAAAACGAGCTATCAAGCTGATCAATGACCCCGCACTTACTCGTAACTTGGATGGTCTCGAACATCGCAGATCTGTGGGCGATTTATCTCTCTTCTACAGGTACTATCACGGAAAATGCTCTGAAGAGTTGGCACGTATGATTCCACCGAGAGTAGCACCTACCAGGCGAACGCGTCAAACAGACGGTAACCATGAATTTACTGTCAAACTAGAGGCACCAAGAACCTCACTATATCAGAATTCATATCTCTGGAGAACAGCATCGCTGTGGAATAAACTCCCTGCGACGGTTTTCCCTGCAGGTTACAACCTGAACCGTTTCAAGACCAACATACACCGACATTTCCGCGCACTTGCCGCTTCTCGAGCGTGATAGGACATTGTCCTTGCGAGTGCGCATATCCGTAAAAAAAAAAAAAAAAAAAAAAAAAAAAAAATATTTGGACCCATACCTACAGCCTAAGATAGAAAAAAATTTTAAATACAAAACTTGGTAGTTTTTTTCTATAGGGTGTCCCACGGTGAATGGCGTATTAGACGTTTATGGAGAACTAAAAAGCGGATAATTTTGAAAATTTGGCAACCAGGATAAACGACCATAATCTACACTTTAAAAATATTTTTGTTTATGCAGTTTTGCCGCTTCCACTCTAAACCAGTGGCAACATCGCTATTTTAAATGGAACACCCCGTATGTAATTGCATATTTGGATTCTACGTAAAATTCTGAGCAGATTTCATGTGATATACCCTATACCTAAGTTCAACTGTTTTGGAAGTATTGTCAGTTGAAAAATGACTTTTTGCAACTTTGACAGGCTGTAAAACATGAACGGTTAATTTTAGCGAAAAACCGATTTTACATTCCTATCTTAGATTTTCATGAGCTATCATTTGACACCAACTTTGAATTTAACTGGAGATTAAATTTAATTGGAATTTTTAATCATGGATTAAATTCGAAATTGGTGTCAAATGATAGTTTATGAAAATCTAAGATAGAAATGTAAAATAGGTTTTTCTCTAAAATTAACCGTTCAGGTTTTACGGCCTATCAAAGTTGGAAAAAGTCAATTTTCAACTGTCAATATTTCCAAAACAGTTGAACTTAGGTATAGAGTATATCATATGAAATCTGCTCAGAATTTCACGTAGAATTCAAATATTCAATCACAAACAGGGTGTTCTATTTAAAATAGCGATGTTGCCAATGGTTTAGATTAGAAGCGGCAACACCGCATAAACAAAAATATTTTTAAAGTGTAGATCATGTTCGTTTATCCCGGTTGCCAAATTTCCAAAATGATCTGCTTTTTAGTTCCACATAAACGTCTAATACGCCATCCACCGTGGGACACCCTGTATTTTCTTTTAATGTTATCAGAAAAAACAAATTCGAATCGGAAAATGGAGAAACGTAGACAACTTCGACTTTTTTTAATGGAACACCCTGTATATGTTGCGATAAAATGAAAGATTTTTACTTCCTGATTCCAAATATATACAGGGTGAGTTACTAAGCGCGCGGTAGTCCATATCTCCTATACTAACGGAGATCGGAGAAAAAACTAAATACAAAACTTGTAGATAAACATAAGTACTACATTCGTAAATTATTTTCCAGCATACAGGGTTATGTTTTTTTAAATGACTTTTCCTGTATATTATGACATTTCTGGATTCTGCCGAAAATTCTAGACATATATCATGTACAATGTCATATACCTATCTTCAACTGTTTCAGAAATATTGACAGTTAGAAACTGACTTTTTTGCATCTTTGACAGACTGTAAAACCTGAACGGTTAAT